TATAGAAATACATTCGAAATACGTATAAATTCTACATTATCAGGGAATAACATGTGTTGTATTTTCATAAAAATCGTGCAAAGTCGGTTCGACTTGATAGTATTTGTATACAATGATATTATATAATGATAATAGTAACAATAATGTAGGTGACGAAACAAGATAGGTATGATAGTTCAAGGAAACGAGACGTAGGGTCACGAAAAATGATAAACAGTTAGTGAGTCTTCGGACGAAAACATAGTATTAATTGTTAATATATGTACTTATAAGTAAATATTTTATATATCTATTTATCTATTTTCACACCAAGTCCTTTGCAGAGAGAACGGAGCGTCAAAGACCTTTACTCTTAAACACATCTCTTGCTTCCTACACTTTAATAATTTCATGTACGCACGCCGATTGCGTTGACACCTGATACCTTTTTCAGAAAGTCTATTAGATTGTATGGTCTATTTGATTAATTTATGTTTAAGTTTACGTATACTATCTTATATATACTCGTATCATAATATTATAATTTTTAGATTAATTTTCCCAAAAAAAACACGAAGCAAATGAAAACTTTTTAAATAAAAAAAAATTAAAATGGCACACTTACGAATAAGCAAGATTTCATCAATTTTAAATTTCAATTTAAACTAAATACTAGGTCGTTTTAAAAAGTAAAGAAATTTAAACTTTTAGGCTCAATTCAGGAATCTTATTTCCCTTGGGGCTCATACGAGTATACACCTATCTAGAGTTAGAGAACTTTCCTTAATTAGCAGACCTAGAGGCAAACTAGGGAATATTGTGGTTAGGGCTTCAAGATTATTATTTTAATGTTATGTCAATAGTTAATATTTCAGAATTAGTTGAAGTTTATATTCAAAATGTTAAAGTAAGAGTATATTTATGGAAATTGAGTAGAAGTTTATTACTCTGAGTTAAATAATTTTATTACAAATAAAATTTATTTAAAATTATTCAATTACGAGTTATAACCTGTGACACTTGTATTTTAAAACAAAAAACTATATTTTCTGTTCTAAGTATTAAACTTAATAGAGAAATTAATCAGAAACTGTTCTTAATTTTATTATTATAAATAACCGTATATTTCATCGATTTTCCAGCTCATTCCAGAATCCTATAATCTATTGAATAATGAAACAACTTTCTAGACATGTATTTCCTGCCTGAGACTCGACCTAAGTTTTCCAACATTTTCTACCCAAAAGCAAGACGTTAGTCAAGGGTTGTGAAAGTTATAACGACAAAAGTTTATATTTATGATGGATTTGTTTTATAATTGTCCTCTCCGTAAAGCAACAAATTCACGACAGAAAAGTTTTTCTAAGCACAAAATTTTTGCGCATTTTTGTCTAAGTTTTAAGTCGACGATATAAAACAGGATTGTTATATTTTTCAAGTATGTATGTTATTATATATGTTTGAATTTATACGTATGCCTAAATTATTGGCAAAAACTTTTATAGGCCAAACTAAAAATAAATACGGAATTTGAAACCACACCTTCTCTACTACCATGACGGCAATAATATTCTTCCCAAATGAGCAACAACATCAAACTATATTAGATTAATATTGTATATTGAGGGCACACCTTCTTATAGCCTCTATTTGTATTTATATAAAAGTCACTTTTATATATGACTTAGATGGTAAACAAGTAGTAGCTAAGTTATTATTGGTATTATTTTCTTTGCACTTTTTTCTAAGTCAGAGACACTTCTAAAGTAATGTATGAGTAAATAAAGCTTTATTTAGTGATTAAGAATTCCCACAATGCCCTATTTTTTTTCTTGTGCAAACGGTTGTTCAGGTATTTATACACCCATATAATAGTTTGTAATAGTTCTATAATAGGCGTGAATTGTGTAGATAAGACATCAGAGGTATACCGTGACGATATTATTTGTTCAGGTGATAATGAACATGAATATAAAGTACGCAACGGAGCGCAGTATTGACACGTGACGTATTTGTTACTTATATTCTTAAAAATAGAGATTTTTGATCTGTTCGTTTCTATATATTATTAATAATATATTTTTTAAAATGTTCTTGATTGTTCTATTTTTCATATCTGATTCTATATATTCTAATTCATACTTGTGTGGGATAAATTTGGTAATCCGTAACTAATGGTACTATTAAAATTGATGGCGATTTTTATTAGAAATAAATAATCTATTTGTTTATGCTTTTGCACATATTAAAATTATATTACTTACTGTAGACCTTACAGAGAGGTCTTAATACATGATGGCATTATCTAACAGTCAACCGTTACTTTAAGGGGGAAAGGGATTGTTAGTAATGGAGACTGAGAATCCTATTGCTAGCAACCAGGTCGACCTCCTCGCGGTTTTGTCTGGAAACTATCATGGTTATTTCCTGATGAATTCATTATGATGGGCTAACTGGCCTGTTTTTATTCTCATCTATCACCCTTCACTGGTGCTCCGCCAGCGTATCCCGTTAGCGCAGGCGGGGTTACCATACCATTTTCACCCATCAAAAAAAAAATCGTTACTTTAAAAAGAGATTAAATGGCGGTGCATTGGTTTAGAAAAATCTATTTGTAAATAAAATAAATACTTCGATAAATAACAACATTATTACATTTTAAGATGAATGAACACACAAACATATAAAATAACTTACAAAAATTATACATACATAAAATTCATACATTACAATACACATATAAATATACGTAATACATTTTAATATAATAAATATATAACTGTTTTTATTCTGTTACATAATTATTATATAACTGCAAAACGTAAAATGCTCTGAAATCAAACAGTCGACGTATTTATCAGTTCATAATATCCTTGCCACGTTGCCACACTGAAGTTTATGTCTCTTCGTATTATCGTTTGTATATACAGATGGTAATGAACTTGACTGGTAAGTATAAAGTACTTATGTAACCAAATGCTTACGTTATTAATATATATTTTGATTTCATATTTAGAATTTATGTAATAAGTAAACTGGAGCGAAACCCTGAGTACGCATTATTCGGTTTTACTCTGTTATGAAATTGAAAATAATATACTTAAACGAACAAAAATGACCAATACAATTTAAGGATAAGCAAAAAGAAGAGGCGATGAGATGAAAATCGATGGAATGAAAATTTCTCAAGTGCGGTAAATGCAGTATAGTACCCGGTAATACGGTCTAATAGACGGGACGATAATCTCAAATATGTTCCAGAGTATGAGTGGATGCGAGTGTTTCAGGACTGTTCTTTATATATACTGTCATAGTCTATGGGGGACGCTTATATAAAATAGTGAACAAATAAAGTCCGTAATGATAACGATGAAGTGCTTTTTTTTATTGAGTTTTGTCTGGATATAATCATTTGGCTACGATTCCTATGGACGTGAATGTAACATTACGATCCACGTTTCTCGGAAAAAGTTGTCCAGTCTCCCAAATCCCGTAGATGGTTTTCAGATTTCTACCTTTTTATTTTGTATTTAAATGCTATAATTACCGCAAATTTATCTATCTATGCTTTATGTATGAAGATAAATTTGAATATTTATTAAATTTGAATATTATATGAGTAATTATGCAGAACAGCCATATAATAGAAACAGTATATATATTCATGTAAACGCTAGGCTGTCCATTACAATTGAAATTGCAATCGTCCAGAATTGTGTCGTAAATTTTGATCTTTCATCCTATATACATAAGGTAGTGCTAACTAACAACAATGTAGCGTAACTGATCGGTAATGGTTTCCTGTGTACACATCCACTTCCTTTTTATCCTCGACCTTGGTCACTGACAGATGACTAGTGCCGTCAATGTAAAATGTCGTATGCTTTATTTGAAGTTTCAGAATGAATTTGTTAAAACAATTAATTATTTTGTAAATAAATTTACTCTTAAGAGTTTCATTTGTTAGATACATTAATTTAATAATAATTCATAATGTAAAATCAGTATAAGGTTTTACTAAATTTATTTAATGACCAAATAGTAGATAGGTAAGGGGAAATATTTTTTAACTCTTATTTTTTATGCATTTTTTATTTTAGTAACTGGTGCAATAATGTGTAAAATAAATTAATACAAATTATATTAGTTTATTCAAGTGCTAAAAAGAACATAAAAGATAAACCCTGATTTTGAGGATTTTAAAATAATTATTAGTTTAAACTTAAAACAATTCATTTCAATTGAGATTAATTACATTTTAATATGTAGGTAATTTAATTTAAATCTACAATAAAATATTTTTATTCAATGATTATTCTATAGTACTACTAAAAAGACAACAAATATTAAACTATCATAGTTTAATATTATTTAATACTTTAATAAAGATTTAAAGTTTATACCAATTACGATTGTTTCTTCACCAACCGACAAACCGACTTCAATTGTAGTAAAACCAGTTATTTTTATTTCCAAACTAAACTACTGATGATTTCCAGGTGGAACTGTGTAAAGTTTGATTTAATCATCATCATCATCATTATTTCAGTTATTATTCGTTCACTTGGACAGAGTTTGAATTGATAGTCGTAAATTCTATTATGAGAAATAGAACCATTAGACCATATTATTAACAATCCTCTTTTCTAAGCTTACTGCTTGATATATAGAATGAATGTCAAATAACATAAGAATTCAAAAGGAATATTACATTAATTTAGTCACTTGAAAAGGATGTCCTCTATGTTTCTCAGTTGATATATAAAGTAAGAGAACGATTAAATAATACTAAGAATGAAAAGGGGAAGTTTAACCATTTGGAAAAGATGGATGAAAGAATACCAATAAGATAGATGAGAGAATTAGTGCAGATGTAGGTTGAGGTCATATTAAACGGATATACGTAGAGGACGTTTTGGAATACGGCCAAGAAAACTCGCCCTGCAAGCTTCAATGAATAGATTAATGAATGTGGACGAATCGAAAGAGGTCTGTTTGAATGAGAACTTCAGATAACTCACCTTTTTCAAGTCTTCAAAAAGATGGAAAGTTCTCAATTCGAGAGCATATTTTTTTGTATTCGCCAATTCTGAAACAATTATGACTTTTTAAAACATATCTAAGTATTAATACTAATAAGTTAATACTTCCATATTAGTATAGCATATTGTTAGTAATTTTGTTAAACTGATTTTTTTCTGGAGCAAAAAATAAACTTGCGCGCGTGATTACATCCACGTGATTAAGATTACAGGCGCATTTACTCATCACAGGTCCTTCCCGTTACTGTTTTTCGTATAATGTCCAGTTCAATGATAATTCAAAAGTCACCTGTCCATAACAATTATTCATGCAGAATATTTATTTTCACTTATGTACATAAATCTTTTACCCCATCGATTAGTTAAGCCATTACGACACCAAGAGATAACAAACAAAGTCATTAATAATAAGGAAAAAACAAATGACGGTCATTTGTATAAGCCTTTCGAAGTTTAAAAATACTTTTTTATAGGTAAGTAGAAAATAAAATATTTTCTAATTACATGAGCATTTAAAATTGTTTCTGTCTACTTCAATGAGGGAGGGACATGAAATATACATTGTATGTGTGAAAGTATTATAAAGGAAATGCATTTAATTACGAACCTCGTTAGTTTTATCTGCGTGTGTAGGTGTTTTGTTAGCGAAATGTTGGCTAAGATAATATTTACCATCGATAATACAATCATTTACATTCATACATTCTCATGCTTACGCAACTAGATGGTAGTGCGTGCGTCATTGTACGAAGAACTACGATATCAAATGGCGAGTTTGCTTTTGAAAGGTATGAGTCAAATTAGTCAAAAAGTCATTCTTTATTTTCTGAACTGACATCAAAGAGAGTTATCGATTTAACTGTGTTTCTTTTGTACATTACGTGACATCTTCAATATTGTTAATATTTACGATTATTTTTGAGATGTATTAACATGTTTCTTCCTACCCTAATGGGAGACAAGCATGACGAATGTGTATATATGTATTAACATTAATATCAATTCATTAATTTATTTCAATTGTTAATCATGGTTCATTATTAATTGTTACTAGCAGCTTGGTCAGCCAATATTTTCTTTTTTATAATGTAAATGCTGATATTGTTATTTTTTATATAATTTTTTTTATACGTATTTTTGACAACTGTACTACTGTGCTTATTCTTCAATTATACATTTATAATATTTTTTATAACTCTTAAAGTAACAACAAAGTTTATGGATCATCTTACAGAAAGTGGTAGCTGTCATATATAGATGTAATTGGCATTGTGATTCCCAAAGTGTTCCTAAGGCGTTACCATTCCTAAGGATAAGTATTATGTTTGTGAATCTTGTAATTTCACTGATATATCCGATTCTTTAAACTATTCAATTTTATTTGAATGCTATTGATATAAAAGAATATTATGAAGAAAACACAATGATGAGAGTCTTTTAACTCTCATCATTGTGTTTTTTTTTTATTTGATATATGTATGTTGTATTTAACATATATATATTTATTTATTTATTTATGTAAATATTTATTTTAGTTTCTGTTTAGCGCTACTACTGCCCACTTACTAATTCCTATGTCACTGTGTTAGGTAGACTGGAAGAAATATCTTTTAGAGATAAGTTCACCTTTGTTAACTTTGTTATTAACTTGTTGCTATTACTGTACGTTTGTGCAATAAAGAATGTATTTAATCGGACTAATTTAATTTAAAGGAAACATACAGTTGCCGTATTAAATTATTCTAGATTGTAAATGATACTTATTGGAGGAAATGGTAAGAAAGAGGCACTAACATTTTAAATAGCAACTTAAAATTCAAAACCTTAATTTTTCCATCTACTTGGCCTGGTTTCTCGTTACGCATTTAAATTATTCCAAGCTTAGAAACTAGAAACTATGTTTTCAACATTTTCTTCGACGTCAAGGGGATGCATTACAGATTCACTTATGGTTTTAAGTCGTCCTAAGTTAGCGGTTTAGGTTAAATATTCAGTGTAAGTTATGGTTCGAGTTAGAACAAGAAATATTTGCCTGTTTAATAAAACAAGTCGTGATTTGATAGGGTTATCAGGAATGATTAAATTTATAATGTAATTAATAAAACCTTTTTGGTGTTATAGGGGAAATTATTTTCATTTCATGTATTGTTGAGAGATTTCACACCCTGTTTAGTACATGTTTATTTTTATACGGTATTCAAATGAATATTCAAAATAAGCATTGTTTTTAAAGTGAAAAAGTAGGGTCTCCATTCCACTCAGTGCTTAGGTATATCTGTTTAATATTTTTGTTATTATTTTTCTATATGACAATATACATAATATTTTGAATAAACTAATTTTGATATTTTTTTTATTTTGATTGAATATTAGGTTATTATTACTAGAGGTGACTTTTAGACTAGAGGTAAGTTGGATGTGGAGTTACAGTAAAACAATACGGTATATTAATATTTAATAACAGGTAAATAAAATGTTACGTGATTAATTTTTCGACAATCGAACCCAAAAAAAAAACTATATACAAATATTGAACTCACGTAGTAAATAAAGTGGTCTCATATCTACAATTAAGTCGCCTCCATACCTTTCACGCCATCAAACTAGGTCACCTTTTCCTATCCCGTGGGTGTCATAAGAGGCGACTAAAAACTTAATGGTCGAGGGATGAGCACCAGCGTTTCTTAAAACATCACCAAAGCCTAACTGCGATTGCCAACTCGATTACCAAGCCGTGACAATTATAGGAACCTATAGGAATTATAGGAAACCCGCTTATGGGGAAGGTTTAAGTTCAGCAGCGGACAGATAACGGCTGATATTATGATGATGAGACTTGAGTAGGTATACGTTCATAGAAATATTTCAGATATTTTATTACTCGCCATTTATAGATATAATTTCAAACTCTTCCCAACGGAGGACACATGCCATAGAAATCAAATACCGAGTTATTTTTAGCCCAATAATCAAATTTCACTGATATTGTTAGATTGTTGAATCCAAGTGGTGTCTGTTAAGCGATGTTTTATCATCATAATGTAATTTTTCATATAGCTGTTCTATCGACATTTTATTACAGACATAAAAGCTGTTTATAATAATACTATATATAACTATACGAAAAATCTACTGTATACGCAAAATGTACTTTACTGGAAGTGTAGTCAAGAAAAAATGTACGAGTATATTGGGTTAATATTTTTGTTTGATTTCCTTTTAATTTAAAAATGAGGAGATTTTTAATACATTGTATTTTCTTATGTATTTTAAGCGATAATTTTATCGATTTTGAATCGGTATTAATAGTTTTTTTTTACTAACTAGCTTTATTCGTATGTTAGTCCCATATCAATTTTATCAATTTATGTCGGTAATGTTTTTTTTTAGGAATAAACGTTTTAAATAAATTATTGTTATTTAATGTTATTTGAATTGTAACGAAATTAACTGTATTATTTTAATTTTTTAAAGCTTATGTTTTTTTAACTTGCTATGTTTGTTGTTTCCGATAACGGTTTCGACTTCATCCAGAAGTCTTTCTCAGGATAAATATGGTGTTTATTTACTTCGTAAGTTCATAAAATTTCCATGACAGAGAGAGAATTAATTTTGTGTCAAATGTAATTAACTTATTAAAATCTTGTAAATATAACATATTCAGATGTGTGAGTTATACTGTTTCGCCCGATCCACCATGCTCTGTCACCTAGTCAGTTGACAGGACATCTAATGAAAACATTGTAAGTATGCATTAATTTTTTTAAACGATGATAAATTAAACAGATGACAACCCTATTAAATAAATCGTGCGGGTCACAGCGGGTCATCTAATATGACCAAAGGTTAGAAGGGACTCGAACTTTGATGTATACGTTAAATAATATATAGCATACTGGTTTTTGCCAGCGGCTTGACCTACATTGTATATTATCTGATTTATATATAAGATGTGACGGATACTCTAATAAATTATTATGTAATTTCAAAATATTTTTGAAAGATATATATTTACAAACAATTATTTAAGATTTTATATTGCATCGATGCTTATAATGATTATGTCGTTGGGCAGTCTGAGCGAAAGCATCGATGTATTTATAAAGCGCAGATTCAGCTCTTTATATTAACATTTATAACTAAAACTATCATTAATAGCACCAATGTATTATAATTTCGGTTCTTCTTTTCAATTAAGTGTTTCCTCTCAGTGTCAGTGTAATTATTTCATGCATTATCATCCAACCAGTTTATGGCATATGACTTGTTACCTAGTGTGTCCTTTATCTGCTTCATGTAGTCATTCTTCGGTCTTGCCCTTTCTCTTTTGCCCTCTAGTTTTCCTTCTACTGCTCTTTAAAAAATCATCGTGTTGCATAAGGTGGACCAGCATTTTTATGGTTATGGATTCGGTTATATAAAATTATTTCTTCATTACTGTTCCGAAAATGGAAACCAATAATATAGTAAAAAAATAATATTTATTCAATTATCTGCTACATGTCTGGGGCCATAATCAGTCATAACAATGATAACAGTTTCAAGAGATAAAAGCTAACTTCTGTCAACATAGTATTTGTCTTTCAAATGTGACAATAGAGAATTATAAGAATATATTGTCACATGATAGAGTGTATATGAAATTTATTGTATTACTAGCAATCCAACCCAACTTTGCAAGGGTAGATAGAATTTTTGAAAATAATATACATATAACCTATGTGACTTGGTAATAATGAGAATTTTCGAGAATAATATATGAAGCCTAAGTTTCTATATAATGTAACATTCTATTATATAAGTGAGAGAATTTTTAAAATTGGTTTAGTAGTTTTAGAGGTTTATACATTACAAATAAACAAGTAATTAAATCTTTTCCTTTATAATATTAGTATAAATTAATTTTTACCTTTACCGCCAACTAGTGGGTCTATTTTTTCTTGCGAGGGTAAAAAAACTATTGTATCTTTCAAGTTAAAACAATTAATGCATATTTACAAAATTACAATGAACATAGTGACAAGGGATTTTTATGTATAAGATTATT